TCCTCAGCCCTTGAGGCGAGCCAGGCGAGGTTGGCGACTGTCATGTGGCTTGGTTTGGTCATTGCCCGTTGATGTTTTGGGTATTGAATATGGTAAGTGAAGGAAATGCTTTTCTGGAGTCTGTGCAGGTGCTGCCTTGAGACCCTCAAGCTTCCACCTGTCCCTCTCCTATGTGGCAGCTGAGGAGCAGCTGACATGTGGACTTGTGTGCTGCCCACATACATGAGGGGGCGCTGAAAGGGAGCCCCTGCTCAAAGGGAGCCCCTCCTCTGAGCAGCCTTTGACAGGCCTGTATGAGGCTTTTCCCACCAGCTCCCAACAGAGGCCTCCCCCAGCCAGGACCACCTCGTCCTCGTGGCAGGGCAGCAGGAGCGGTAGAAAGGGGTCTGATGTTTGAGGAGGCCCTTAAGGGAAGCTACTGAATTGTAACAAGAAAACCACCATTCTTCCGTATTGGTTGGGGGCTCCTGTTTCTCATCCTAGCTTCTTCTTGGAAAGCCTGCTAGAAGGTTTGGGAATGAGGGGAAAGTTCTCAGAACCGTTGCTGCTCCCCACCCACCTCCCCTGCAGGTTATGTCAACAGCTCGGAGACAGAAGTATCACAGGCCAGATGTTGTTCCTGCTAGATGTTTACATTTGTAAGAAATAACACTGTGAATGTAAAACGGAGCCATTCCCCTTGGAATGCATATCGCTGGGCTCAACACAGAGTTTGTCTTCCTTTTGTTTACGACGTGATCTAAAACAGTCCTTAGCAAGGGGCTCAGAACACCCCGCTCTGGCAGTGGGTGTCCCCCACTCCCAAAGGCCTGCCTGTGTGCTCCAGAGATGAATATGAGCTCATTAGTAAAATGACTTTACCCATGCGTAAGTCAAGTACACATGCACGTGCATATGGACACATCTGTAGTTTTATACACGCACATCTCAAGACAGAGATGCATGGCCTCCAAGAGTGCCCGTGTCGGTTCTTCCTGGAAGGTGACTCTCCTCAGACCTGCCAGGTAAAGTTAGCTGTGTGACGGGCGTCCAGGCGCGGGGCTTGGTCAGAGCAGGGCTCCTTCATGGCTCACTAGGATCCCACCGGAGAAAACGGTCTCCATATCAACTCTGCCGAAGGGAGGAAGACTTTGTCGCGTTCCTAAAAACCTATGGCAAGCACCAATCATATTATCCAAATTTTGTTGAAAATGTGATTAATTTGGTTGTCAAGTTTTGGGGGTGAGCTGTGGGGAGACTGCTTTTGTTTTGCTGCTGGTAATATCAGGAAAGACTTTAATGAAACCAGGGTAGAATTGTTTGGCAATGCACTGAAGCGCGTTTCTTTCCCAAAACGTGCCTCCCTTCCGCTGCGGGCCCAGCTGAGTCTGTGTAGGTGACGTTTCCGGCTGCCAAGTGCTCTTTGTTACTGTCCACCCCCATTTCTGCCAGCACATGTGTCCTTTCAGGAGGAAAATGTGAAGCTGAAACCCCTCCAGACACCCAGAATGTAGCATCTGAGAAGGCCCTGTGCCCTAAAGGACACCCCTCGCCCCCACCTTCATGGAGGGGTCATTCCAGAGCCCTCGGAGCCGATGAACAGCTCGTCCTCTTGGAGCTGAGCTGAGCCCCCCACGGAGCTCGGGACGGATAGTAAACAGCACTAACTCGGTCTGTGGCTGCCTGGCAGGTGGAAGTTCCTCCCCCTGAGGGGCGGAGTGAGGTTAGTTCTGTGTGTCTGCGGGGTGGAGTCAGCCTGCTCCTGCTACCTGTGAGCGTCCTGCCCAGCAGACATCCTCACCCGGCTTTGTCCCTCCCCACTTCCTCCCTCTGCGGGGAGGACCAGGACCACAGCTGCTGGCCAGGGTAGGCTTGGAGCTGTGCTCCGGAGGGGCCACCTGTGGGAGCGAGAAGAAGGAAGATCTTGAGAGCTGCCGAGGCACCCTGGAGAGCTCAGGATGGTCCAGGCGAGAAGAGGACACCCACTTGCCAGGCCTGGGCCTCCTGGGAAGGAGGGAGCCGCTCAGAGCGCCGCATGACAACTGAAGGCAACCTGGAAGGTTCAGGGGCCACTCTTCCCCCGTGTGCCTGTCACGCTCTGGTGCAGTCAAAGGAACGCCTTCCCCTCAGTTGTTTCCAAAAGCAGAGTCTCCCGCTGCAATCTGGGTGGTGATTGCCAGCCTTGGAGGATCGTGGCCAACGTGGACCTGCCTACGGAGGGTGGGCTCTGACCCACGTGGGGCCTCCTTGTCCAGGTCTCATTGCTTTGCGCTGTGGTCAGAGGGACTGTCAGCTGAGCCTGAGCTCCCCTGGAGCCAGCAGGGCTGTGATGGGCGAGTCCCGGAGCCCCACCCAGACCTGACTGCTTCTGAGAGCAAAGGGAAGGACTGACGAGAGATGTATATTTAATTTTTTTAACTGCTGCAAACATTGTACATCCAAATTAAAGGAAAAACATTGAAACCATCAGTTGTTGCTGTGTGAGGCTTGCTTTACTTCATGAGAACCTAGACCTTGCTGAGCTGGAGTCTTAGGAAACTGTCTCCTAAGTGCTTCTCCAGCGGGGGCAGAAACTGTCCCACCAGCTAACATCTGACATTACGGAGGGTCCCGCAGGCAGCTGCCAGCAAGGACAAGCCCTGTGTTTTCTGTAGCCAGGGATGAGGAAGTGGCCCCAGGGGCCTGGCTGGGTGCTGCTTCAAGGGCCTTCGCAAACCACAGTACAGGTGGTCTTCCTGCACTGCAGATGGGAGCTGTGGGAGCTGCTGGATCCTTCATGGTCAAGTGACATCATAAGCTTATATGACACACACAAGCCTCAGGACTTGGCCCATGGCACTGGAGCAGGTCATCAGGCCCAGCAGACTAGAGCTGTGTTCTCACAGGGCCCACGACCCTTCTAGCTCCTTGGCCATTGAAACTTGTGTCCCTGACCCAGCTGCTCCCAGGTACCCCCCAAAGCAGCTGGCACATCCCACCTCTGGTGTGGCCTGGGCTGCCGTGTGTCCACAGGGCCTGCCCCGTCTGTTCTAGCTTGTTTCTCCTGTCTGAACCAGCGCCTACTCCAAGAAGCCTGTGCTCAGCCCAGCAGGGATGCTTCTAAGCTCGGCCCAGCCTCTGGGAAGCCTTGGTGGTCGGTGGTGTAGTCATCCTGGGATGCAGAACAAAATCCTGCAAGAACAAAACTGTGGCTTCGTCTGGTGCAGGGTATTTAGTTACTGTTTGCTGAGGTCCTGTCTGGTTCTGGCGAATGGGCAGGGGTCGGCCACCCATTCTTTCCCTGCTCTGCTGTCCGTGCCAGGAGAGACGGGGGCCTGTTGGCCGAGGGGGCAGCTCCTGCTGCCTGCTGTCCTTAGGCACGTGCAGGGACCCCCTTTCTCTGAGCAGGATGGGGATCAGTCTTTCAGAGGGATGTGGTGGACAGGCCCAGCCGGGTAAAAATTTCCCCCAGTTGCTCAAAGCATTTGGGGTGGGGCATGCCACTTGAGCTCCTTAAATCTGTCTCATAGGTGACACCACTCCAGGGCCCCCCAGGGGCCTCTCCCTTCAGAGCTACCAAAGTTCTGGTCACTTCAGAGAAATGGAGCACCCCCTTCTCCCTGGTCCAGATGTGGACAGCCAGACCCTTGGCACACCTAGCACACCTGGCATGGCTGGTAATTTCAGAAAGAAAAGGGGCCGGGGTCCAGTGGGAAGCAGTGGCGAACCCTCATGCGTGGGCTTTGCGATCCCTCCCCCTGCCACGGCAGAGCTGCCCTCAGCACAGTCTTCCTCTTCCTCATCGGAGAGCACACCCTGTCCCCTTGCCGGGGCTGTGCTCTGTGCCTTCGGTGGTATTTGGTTTTGGCTGCTACTGGCTTTGTTCCAAAGAGGATCTGGAAGTCGCTTCCCCTGTGTGGAGCGTGGAGCACTGTGAGTCAGATGAGGGAAGTAGCCAGGGGGAGGTGAGTACCCGGCGGAGCCGCCACAGAAAGGACTGGGTAGGGGGCCTTGCCTCCACGTGATGTGACATGGCCAGCCGAGGACAGAGGAAGCCCCGTTCCTGGGGGTGTGGGGTGCACCCCTCAGGGAAGCCTGCAGTGGGGCCCAAGGAAAGGCGTTCTCTGCGAGCCCACAAGTCTGCTCTGTGGGCACCGTGACAATGCCCGTGGGCAGAGGTGGGCCCGGCCTTGTGTCGTCACCAGGACCTCTTTTGGGAAACCATGTGGGCATCCCTTGCGGGTCCCCCAGGTTCTGCAGTCCCAGCGGCCTGGCTGCCTGTTGGGCACATGACTTGAGCCGCCCAGAGGGCCCAGCCCTGTTGGCAGCCACGTCGTCTGGAGGCCCTGCCGGTGGGGCTGGCTTTCTCTACCCCACACCAGGCCTCCAAGTATACTGGTCGGGGGTGTCTGGGCCCTGGGTGGGCCCCGTGGACCTGTGAGGTCAGGGTCGGGGCATCCCTGGAGGCAGGGGGCTTAAAATTGCGGGTCTGGGTTCCCCTTGTGTGCACAGGTCCCCGCCCTCCACACTTCATCAGGCAGCTGGCCCCAAAACTGCTCGGACAGGCTGGTCCTGAGGTGGATCCTGGCCCCTGTACCCTCCGGACAACCCACCTGCCCAACCTTCCACCCTGCCCCAGTGGCAGCAGTGTCGGCCACATCCTTCCCCTCCTGGCCGCAATTGCTCTGGGGAAGTCCAGGCTCCTGAGCCTGCCCAGGGGCCCCCATGATTTGGGCCCAGGACTCCACGTGGTTCTCTGCCTTCACCCAAGCCCTGAACTCCTCGGCTGCCAAATCCCCACCCATCTGCACAGGCTGTGCTCGCCACTGCTGCTCCTGGAAGGTGCCCCTCGGTGGGACGCCCACCTCCTCTCTGGGCTTCTGTGTTTAGGAGCCCTGCTGCCCCCTCCCTTGGTCAGTCCCCGTGTCCTCCTGGCCTGTCAGGCAGGGCAGAAAAGCCACCCAGAAATGCTGAGTGGGATGAGAGTCTGGCTGGGCCCAGCCTCATTATTGAGAAGGGATAGAGGCCTAGGGGGCATGCTCCTAGCCTGAGCACAGCAGGACCCTGCCTACGTCCCAGGTCTCCACCAGGGACAGCTGCTGCCGAGGCCTGACCTGCCCCTTCTCCCTCAGGTGCCGCTGGTTGCCCAGCCCCTGGCCCTAGGAGACCCCGCAGCGACCAAGGGTCCCAGCAGGCCATGCAGCTGTGCCAAGGTACGAGCCCTTCCCCAGTAGGGGATAGATGCAGGGACTCTCCCAGGCAGGGGTAGCTGGGTGCCTGGTGCTGCCATCCGCTGCCTGCCCAGTTCTTGTCCTCACATTGGAGGTCGGTGTGAGGGCTCTGCCTCAGGAAAGGCCGCAGAGCTTGCCCTGTCCAGGGTCTCCCATGTGCACTGAGCCCAGGAAGAGAGGGTTGGAGTTGAACCTTTTACCCTGGAAATGCTGCCTGGAGGATGGTGCGAGTGTGGGGTGGCACCCTGCCAGGCAGGGCTCTGTCTCCCTGTGCCCACTGGAACTCGGGCAGGCAGGGGTATAGGTGCTTCCTCTAGAGCCGTCAGGTGGGGCGCCCAGCAGTGGTGGTGGTGCCCACTGGCCAGCAGCTCCTCCTTCAGCCAGGAGAGTAGGCCTGACGCTGTCTCCAGCAGCTCCAAGTGGATTTGTGGAAGGGGGTAGGGGGCAGGGTTCTGGGAGGGCTGTGCCCCCTTAGCCAGCACCGTGCTGGGTGAGATGGTCAGATCCTGTTACCCCTGTTGTAGAGGTGAGGAAACAGGCTAGGGGGAGGACATGACTAAGGTCCATGCTGAGTCGCTAGAGCTGCACCCAGAACCCACTGCTGGGACCCCATGACTTTCTGCGTGCCCCTTGTGCTGGGAGATGCCAAGAGATGCTGGGAGCCAGCCCCACCTCTGCCCTTGGAGTCATGGCTACGGAAAGGGCATTGGGACAGGTCTCCGACCTCACTGGAAAGGGCCGAACCCTGTTCCTGAGCAGCCAGGGCTTCCTAGAGGAGGTGGGCCTTCTAGTCACTCCATCTGCAGGCACTCCACAGAGCTCTCTGTGCCAGCCCCCAGCACCGAGGGCTGAACTTAGCAGAGGGGGGCCTTGTGGGCCCCTCCCATGCCCCGTGCCAGGCAGTAGGGATGATGTCTCCAGAGCCCAAATGGAAGGGGCTGGACTAGTCTCACGGGGCTGATAGTAGGGCCAGGCCTGGACCAGGAACCCGGTGTAGGGGTGCAGAGACCCCTCTGAGTCCCTCACACATCCCTGGGGCCCTCCCCATACACTTTCCTATCCTGACTGCAGGCAAGAGGGAGCCCCAGGTCACCCTCCCCATGCTGGGCACCCACAGTGGGGCCAGGCACCCCCGCCACACCCCTGCCCTGTCCTTCCCCTGAGAACCTTAGTTCCACCTCCAAGGTGCCTCAGAGATCAGCAGGGGCAGCGGCAGAGGCTGAGATGCCTCCCCACTCCAGGTTCAGCCGCCCTTCCTGCGGCAGCCCCCACCTGAGAGTCTCCGGCAGTTGGTCAGGCCTGAGGAGGGCAGGGGGTGCCCGCTGTCCCTCTGCTGACCACAGCGGCGTTTAGCCTGGGTACCGCGTCCAGCACGGCGCATCGCTGTCCCTCTGCTGACCACAGCGGCGTTTAGCCTGGGTACCGCGTCCAGCACGGCGCATCGCTGTCCCTCTGCTGACCACAGCGGCGTTTAGCCTGGGTACCGCGTCCAGCACGGCGCATCGCTGTCCCTCTGCTGACCACAGCGGCGTTTAGCCTGGGTACCGCGTCCAGCACGGCCCATCCTGCACAGGTGCCGTGGGCTCCACAGAGCCCTGCCAGACTTGCGAGTGTTACGTTTCGGGTGCTGATGCCTTTAGGCGGGCACTTCTCTGAGCAGAACCCCCAGGCCACACGCTCCTATTCCGCTGCACCTGGGGCTCTCGGCAGGCTGTGGTCCCCCAGAAGCCTGGGGGCGTCTCAGTCCCTCAGGGCCCGATCCGCAGCCTGGGCCTCGAGCCCCATCTCCACATGCCGTGCTGAATCTGGCTGCCCATCAGCTCCCTGCATACCCAGGCTGTGCCCTGCCATGCACATGGCTCCTCCCAGGAGTGCCCTGTGGCCTCCCCCTGGCTTGCTGGGCTGATTCCCTCCTGTGTCTCAAACAGAGCTCACCTTTGCCGTCCCTGCTATCCTCGCCAGCCGGTGCCAGAGGCCTGTGTCTGTGTACCCTGTGACTGCACCTCTGGGCAGGGCCTGGCTCTGACCAATCTGGGCTTCCAGTGTCCACGGACCTGAGGCCCAGGGCGCCTGGGTGCTGGAGCAAGAGAAGCAAAAGGAGCAAAGGGTGGGGATGTGGGGTTCTTGTGAGGGCCCAGCCCTAGGACCCCAGGACCAGGAGACCCAGGGGTCCCGGGGCCCAGCCCCATTTCAGCCTGGCAGAGGCCTTCTGAGGGAGCTTAAGGTCCCACAGCCCAGGACTCCCGCCAGGGCCAGTGGCCAGCATTGGGGGACTCAGCCTCCTCATCTCCTGTCCTTTCTGTTTCTCCCACCTTTTGCCCCTTTTCTCCTTGCCTGGTCCCACCCAAGTCCCCCTGTTGGCCTGCGTGAGCCGGGACGGCACTGAACTGGGGGCCCATCGCCTGGACGGCGGTGGGAGGCAGGGCCGGGAGCCGGGCCGCTGGGTTTGGGCCTGGACCGCTCGCTGCAATATTGATGGCCCGTCAGTGCGGCCCTGATTCCTGGGCTTTCAGTTAAAAGGTTTCTGTTGTTGTAGCTTATGCAGTTGCTCTGTTGCTATGGAAACGTGACATCAAAATGACGTTTCCCGTTTAAAAGCTTTTAACTAAATTCCTGCCTGTCAGATGTAGGCCCCATTTTGAGCGTGGAGCTGCCTTCGAGCGAGCGTGAGCGGCGCCTCCCGCCCATGGTGCGTGGGGCCGGGCCGGGGGCCTCGCTGAGCCGCTCTCTCACCCCCCAGGCGCCTGGAGCATGGCGGCGGCCGAGGGGCCCGGCTACCTGGTGTCTCCCCAGGCGGAGAAGCACCGGCGGGCCCGCAACTGGACCGACGCCGAGATGCGCGGCCTCATGCTGGTCTGGGAGGAGTTCTTCGACGAGCTCAAGCAGACCAAGCGCAACGCCAAGGTGTACGAGAAGATGGCCAGCAAGCTCTTCGAGATGACCGGCGAGCGCAGGCTGGGCGAGGAGATCAAGATCAAGATCACCAACATGACCTTCCAGTACAGGTGGGCGCGCGCGCAGTGTGGGCCCCCCAGGACAGGCGGCACCGGGCGTGGCGGCCGATCCTGGCTCTCTCGGAGCTCTGACTCGGGAGGGTGTGTGGGCCCTGGCCTGCCTGTCGGTCTCCTCTGGCCGGGTATGGGCAGAATCCCACGGGGTGAGACGGCACACGGAAACCGTGTGTGCAGCCTTCCATTGGGGAAGTGAGGAAACTGAGGCCCAGCAAGGGCAGGAAGCCGGTCTAAGAACTGAAGGATAGCAGGGGTGGGGCTGGTACTGGGCAGAGGCCAGGATGGCTCCCAGGACGTATGGCCGGTCTGGGCACTGTCCCTCGGAGGCAGCATCACTCATGGTGGTGCTCACTGACCTCACACCCTCCTTTCCCATAGGGAGGCGGCGGCTGCCAGTGCCCTCCCCGCCACCAGGCTCCCAAGCTCAGCAGGGGTTTCAGGGGCCTACTGTGCCACTGGGGAATCGAGACTGCAAGTGAGAAGGAGGCTCCGTGCTCTGCGACGTGGAACATCCACGGAGCCTCTGCCATGAGCCCGTGAGCCCCACTGGGGCTGGCCCTAGGGTTGAGGGGGGGTGTTCCCAGAAATCACCAGGTGAGGCACAGGACCGGCCAGCGCATGGGCAGGGCTTACTGTGCGAAGAAGAAAGAGATGGAGCCCTGCCCTGGCCCAGGACTCCCAGCGTGGGGGCTCCCGGCCTGGCCCCACCTCTGCTCCCGCCACACAGCAGGTGGGCCCTTCCTGCCCGGGCAACCTGCAGGGAAGGCCCGAGGGGACCACCCAGCCAAGGAGGCACTGGCACCTCGGAGGAGGGGACAGCTATGGTCCTACACACCCAGCATCTTAAAGTGTGTGGGTCCCCAGCCCATTAGGATGGGGTCACGGGTGGGCGGGGGTCATGGTGGGGTGAAGGTGTCAGGCACAGGTGGGGTCACAGCTACGGTGTGGGTCTTGCAGGGTGTGAAGGTCATGGGTGTGCGGTGAAGGTCACAGGTGTGGGGTGATGGTTTTGGGTGTGGGGAGGGTCTTGCACAGAGCGAGGGTGGCAGCAAGAGCTGGAAGCCGCAGGGGGGGAATGGCGGCCTAGAGCACCCGGCCCTGTGGACGGCCTGGACGGGCTGGGCCTGGGGCTACCGGAGAGCCTGCCAGCTTCCAGGATGGGAGGGGCTGCTCCACCTCCGGGTCAGGCAGGTGAGCCCGGGGCAGAGAGGCTGGCAGCACCTGAGCCACTTGTGGGAGAGGCAACCCCCACTGCCCCCGCAGGCGAGGAGCCAGCCTCCAGCACAGCAGAAGGGGAGCCCCAGGCCCCGGCCCTGGTGGGAGCAGGGAAGAGGCCCAGCAAGGCCCCGGACAGACCGCCAGGCTGTGGGGTCTCTGCTTTCAGTTGTATTGATTTGATTTTTTCTGAGCCTCGAAGGAGGGGTCCGGGGCCTGGCCCTGCCCAAAGGCCCCTAGCCAGGCCCCAAAGCCGGGACCTAGGGTGCTGAACGTGACGGATGTTGGGTTTGAGCGGCTGGCTTGCGACGTGAGGGCTGAGGTGTGAGCCTGGGTATCTTCAGAGGCTCAGTGGACGCAGGCAGCTGCCCACGGTCCCACTGTTCCCGCGGCCCCACCGTTCCCTTGGCCTCCTAGCCCTGCTCAGGGACCTGGTGAGGAAGGACACAGAGGGCGGTGGGAGATGGCTCCCCTCTGACTCAGGAATTCACGGGCACCGCCTCCCCGGCTGGCTCTGGTTGGTGTCTGGCCAGGTTATTCATTATTTATGCTGAAAGCCTCTTCAGAGTCCCAGGGGAGGGCTTCTGTCTCCATTCCTGGAGGCCGGGAGATGAGGGTGCAGCAGAGTGGGGGCCTCCACTCCAGACCCTGCAGTCTGGCGGGCCAAGGGCTGCGCCGGTGCACAGCACATCACGGTTGATGAAGCACATGGCAGCCCCTCAGAGCTGCCACAGTCAGCCTTCGTTCACCGAGGGGGAAGCTGAGGCCCAGAGCATGAGAGGACTTGCCCAAGGCCACACAATCCTTAGCAGAGGGAGCTGTGGCTGGGTGACTCGATCTTTGTCCTTTTTCTTTATACCCCCAGCCTCCCCATAGCAGAGGCTTTTGTCATTTTTTTGTTTGTTTGTTTTACAAGAGCTCTTTATATATTAAGGCTGTTGGGCTGAAGAAGCCTGAGAGGGTGGCTGGTTCTGTGGAGAGTAGTTTGTTGGAGTACAGTTGGGGGCCTCCTATGCTGAGAATCGGCCTTTTCTTGTTTCTCCAAAGAGTGGGCTGGCTCAAGTAGGGCAGAGAGAGAAGCCTGGGGCAGAGGTTAGGGATCGGCACCCAGTGCCCGGCCCCACACTCTCTGTGCTGGTGTCTTCGCAGCCACATGCCACCTTGGGCAGCAGCCCCTGCTCACCATCTGGCTGTGTCTGTTTGCTGGGGGCACCTCATTCAGAAGCCAGCTTATTGTTTCCAGGGACCAGTAGCTACATCCTGGCAGGTAACAAGAGTAGGAGAGAGGAGATGCCCACTCCGAGCACAGGGTGGGTTTGGAGCCTGGCCTCAGGGCACTCTGTCCAAAGGCAGAGTAGGGGGTGGGCTCTGGGCCTTAGGAGGTACTGGGTCTGATGAGGCAGAGACCCCTGCCTCCCCCCCACCTTGTGGCTTCTTTCCTGGCCTGGCCAGAGCTGTCTGGCCGCCCTGGGGCCCTGTCTCCCCTGCCTTGACCTCCCAGAGGCCCAGGGGAGGCCTGGGGACTTAGCCTATCAGAGGGCAGGACCTGTTTGTGGGAGTAGGTGGGCGCAGGGGGTCCCAGTGGTAATGAGGCATCAGGCAGTGTGGGAAGGGGCCCATCCGGCCCACCCCAGGGCCTCTGGGCAGGTCGCAGGTTGTAGTGCTGGATCTAGGCTCCTGCCCAGACTGTAGGTTCAACCAAGAATGGCATGGGAGCCCAGCCTGCTGTTTGCTTTATTAAATCTGCCCTGCATCTGGGGGAGGGGCTTACTTCGATCATCCCCATGTCATTGATCTAAAAATAGAGGCTCAGAGAGGTGAATGAACCCGCCCAAGGTCACACAGCAAAGTGTGGAGATGAGATACTGACTCAGGGCTGTGGACACTGAAGCCTGTGCTCTAACGCCAGTGGCTGTCGCTCCCTGAGGCATTCTCTCCCGAACAGCACAGTTATTCTATTACAAAATATTATCGCTATACTTATATATCTTATAATACCTTATTATTACAATAATACCTTATTACTCTACCTTTCAAAATGACTTATTTAAAAAGCAGTATTTGCTCATTGCAGAGAGTCTAGAAACTACAGAAAAGTGAGGAAAAAGCAACAGGACCAGCCCCAAGTTCCCAGCATGCACAGGTAACCTTAGTAATACTGGGACGCGTGCTTCCTTTTTAACATCTGAGCCCGTTTAGGTCCTGAAGCCTGGCTTCTTTCTAAGTCCAATGTCATCTTGACCCTGGAGCCTGGCCGATTTTGCTGGGGAGGCCCTTGCTGGCTGAGAGCGGCTCCGGCCTGTGCCGGCGCGGTGCGCCCCTCTGCTGAGGCTGGGCAGGACAGGGGCTGGGCCAGCTCTGTTTCTCACCCTTGGCTCTTGTGTCTCTCGTTTCAGGAAATTAAAATGCATGACAGATAGCGAGTCCGCCCCGCCCGACTGGCCCTATTACCTAGCCATTGATGGGATTCTGGCCAAGGTCCCCGAGTCCTGTGATGGCAAACTGCCGGACAGCCAGCCGCCGGGGCCCTCCACATCCCAGACCGAGGCGTCCCTGTCGCCGCCCGCTAAGTCCACCCCTCTGTACTTCCCGTATAACCAGTGCTCCTACGAAGGCCGCTTCGAGGACGATCGCTCCGACACCTCCTCCAGCTTACTGTCCCTTAAGTTCAGGTAGTGTGTCTGCTTGTCCTTCCCCTGCCCTGGAGTGTCTCAGCCCCCACCATTTAGAGAAAGGGACTGGGAGCGGCGAGGGCGGCGGTCGCAGTGGTTGCAGAGGCCGTGGCTGTGGGCAGCGCCTCCAGGGACAGGTGGCCTCAGACTAGGGCGGGCTTTAGTGTCCACAGGCAGACCGAGTTCGTCTCCCAGCTCCATCACTTTTGAGCTGCATGGAAAGTTCCTTGACTTCTCTGGCCTCAGTCTCCCTCCGATAAAATGGGGATAAATCAGTACCTTTCTCAGAGGGTGGCTGGGAGCATTGTGGGAGGGAAGACGCAGCACAGGGCCCGGCACACGGAGGGAGACCAAGCCCCAGACCCAAGAATGTGCCCCCTGGCCTCCCTCACCCCACACGGACCCCGCCCTCACAGGCTGGTGGCCCCTTAGCGCTGGGGAGGGTGTCAGGCTGCGCCTCATCACGTGTTGCCGTGGGGATGGCCCATCCCCTCTGCCGTCCATCCCACACTTCAGACCACGCCTGTGCCGGCCGCGTGACTGCCTGCGAGATGCTCACAGGACAGCCGGGAGCCAGGCAGCATGCAGGACAGACACCTGCGGGGTGGGCCTGGGGAGCCCAGAGAAGGTGCTTTGGAGGAGGGGACATTTGGGGTGGGCTTTCAAGGTAAAATAGAAGTTGACCATTTGGAGGCAAGAACAGGAAGATGGTGGATTTGAGTCACAGCTTCTCCCCTGCCCTGGTCTTCAAGTCTTTCTGACAGGAGGTGGGGTGAGGAAGGCGTCTCCGAGGAGGGTCCCCCCAAGCTGGCACCTCCCATGCCGGGGGCTGCTGCTTGACTCAGGATTTCTCATTGAAGACCCATGGCAGCTAGAAGGAACCAGCAGGAGGCCTGAGATTTATGGCTTGTTGTTCCTGTGGACTGAGCCCAGTTCCCGGACTCAGCTGCCTGGGGCCTTGCACAGGGCTGGGGCGTGAGGACTGCCCTCCCTGATCAGGACCAAAGCGCTGCGCTCCTGCCCCTGGGGTTGGCTGCACCCTTCCAGCTCAGAGCGGAGCGTGGGCCAGGGGTGAGCAGGCACTGGAGCAGGGCCTTGGGGTTTGTGGGTTTTGGCAGCTCCCTGCCCTTCAGCGAGGTCTGCTGGGAGCACGGGTGGCCCCTACCCCAGCAGCAGAGCGCTCAGGAGGTGCCCACAGGGCTGGACTGCCTTTACCTGCCACCTCTACCAGAGCTCCAAGGGTCTGGGGGGAGAGCCCGGGCATCTTGTGGGCCCCACACCCTCTAGGTGCCTGTCCTCCCGCCTCTCTGCCAAGGTGTGCTGGCCCCATTTCTAGGCCGCCGGGAGACTAAAGGGGCTCACATCTCAGGCCCTTCCTTCTGGGACCTCAGTTTCCCCACCTGCCTAAGGCCGGGTGGGGCTGGTGGTCTCTGGCTTCCCTACAGGTGTCCTGAGTACTCCGCACTACCCAGCACCCCCCACCCCTGCCTTCATCTCTGCCTGGGAGTAGCCTCTCCACCCCTGGGCGTCAACTGGGGCTGAGCCCCCACCTACCCAGCTCGGTGGGTGAGGGATGCTCCCTGGCAGGATGTGCCCCTCTGCAGCCCAGAACATCCTGCCCTTTCCAGACCGAAGGGGTGTGGATTGTCCTGGGACCCTGGTCCTTGGGGTCGTCTGCTAGTTGCAAAGGATGGCAATGCCTGTGGCCTCTCTTTCTCTTCATTTTCTTTTTCTTTTTCTTTTTCTTTTTTTTTTTTTTTTGAGACGGAGTCTCGCTCTTGTGCAGAGTGCAGTGGAATGATCTTGACTCACTGCAACCTCCACCTCCCAGGTTCAAGCGATTCTCCTGCCTCATCCTCCCAAGTAGCTGGGATTACAGGCGCCTGCCACAACGCCTGGCTAATTTTTGTATTTTTAGCAGAGATAGGGTTTCTGCATGTTGGTCAGGCTGGTCTTGAACTCCTGACCTCAGGTGATCCACCTACCTCAGACTCCCAAAGTGCTGGGATTACAGGTGTGAGCTGCCGCGCCTGGCCACCCCTGTTACTTTCTTACTGTCAAAGGGGGCGGGTTTTGGCCCCTCCTTTGCACATGGAATATGAGACCCCGAGTAAGTGACCTGACTCCCTGGGGCCTCAGTTTCCCCATTTGCCTAGTAGGATAATTGGGAGGGTCCGGTGAGGCCCCCGGTGTGCCCAGGCTCTGTGGCTAGCACGTCCACAGCTGGCGCTGTCCTTCCAGGTCGGAGGAGCGACCGGTGAAGAAGCGCAAGGTGCAGAGCTGCCACCTGCAGAAGAAGCAGCTGCGGCTGCTGGAGGCCATGGTGGAGGAGCAGCGCCGGCTGAGCCGCGCCGTGGAGGAGACCTGCCGCGAGGTGCGCCGCGTGCTGGACCAGCAGCACATCCTGCAGGTGCAGAGCCTGCAGCTGCAGGAACGCATGATGAGTCTGCTGGAGAGGATCATCACCAAGTCCAGCGTCTAGGCCAGCAGGTGGCGGCGGTGGGGCCGGGCCACCCAGGGCAGGCCACTCAGGCCAGGCGGGCAAGGGGGCCGCCCCGTGAGAGGAGACCGCCTTCCACCTGGCCTCTGGCGGGATGTCCCTTCCGAGGGGTGTTTTGAGGAACCCCCAGGCCCTGGGGACCGTGAGGCTCCAGTCTCCAGCATGAACGCCCTTCCTCAGACACAGGCCAGGGCCTCCGGGGGTCACTCTGAGTAAGAACATCCTAGAACCACTCTCCAGTGTCGTTACTATCAATAATACTTGACATGGCTTTGATATTAAATGTATACTTTTTCATTCTTGCCTGGACCGCACGGTTTGCTGTTGCTGACTTGGTGAGGATGCCCTGATTGATGGATCCCAAAAATGAAAGCAGGTGCAAATGGGTCGGGGCAGGCTGGAGCTGGGGGGAAAGCTCTGCCCTGAAGGGAACCTGTGTCCTCCCTCACCAGGACCTCTGCGTCTGTCCTTAAATGGCCTCCCACGCCTGATGAAAACCCCAGGGAGCCTTCCGGGAGGCTTTTATTCAGCTCTGTTTGGAGCATCAGGTGTTTCTACTGCCTCCTTAGCAATGACACTAATAAAAGTCGTAACACCTGCTCGCGTGCACGGCCCTGTTGGATGCTCTGGGTTCTGGAGATGTCGTGGTAGATGACACAAAGGCCCTGGCCTCTTGGAGCTTATGCTCCCATGCGGGGAAGACCAATGGGTCAGTAGAGAAATGCTTGCAGGTTGTGATAAGTGCTGGAAGGGAGGGGTTGGCGTGAGGACACGGAACCAGACTTACATGGAGCTGGGAACAGTGGCCACACAAGGAATCGCCAGTGTGAAGGCCCAGAGGCAGAGGACACTGGAGCAAGCCCCAGGAGCAGCCAGGAGGCTGGTCGCCAGCAGCCAGGCCACGGAGGCCAGTGCAGCCCGTGGGGAGGAGTGTTCGTGGTTTTCAAGCTTAGTGGGAGTGTTTCGGCCAGTGCAGCTCTGGGTCTGACATCCGCGGGGGACAGGGGGGCGGTGGAGCAGCCACAGCTGCAAGCTCACCTCACTGCCGGCCCTTCCACCAGTTGCAAACTCTTTCCAGAAGCTCCAGCTTTCCAAAAGTTGAATTCTCTATAAGCCTCCTTGGCCAGGACTTGGGCGTTTCTTGCCCTGGCTGCCAAGGAGGCTGGGGCCAGGTGTGTTTGAGTCACCTCCTGGACTTAGGCAAGTGGCCGCCCAAATAGAAGGTTCTTGGCAGGTGGTCAGCAGGTGGACAGCATGGTTTGGCTCAGGGTTCAGAAAATCTCCCTCTGGCTGCCAGGTGGGCAGGCCATGGAGACAGCTGCGGAGACAGGTGCGGAGGCAGGTGCAGAGGCAGGCGTGGAGGCAGGCATCCTGCCAGGCAGTGCTGTGGTCATCCTGTGACAGGCAGCAGCAGCTCATCCAACCCTCTAGGGGGTCTGGAGGTCAGCCAGGCAAGGGAGTAGCTTGGGCTCCCCTGGGCGTGGCAGCAGCCTGTGGACCATGGTGGTGTGGAGGATGATGCCCTAGGCCTGCTTGTGTGAAGGAGAGGCCGGCGTGCTCTGTGGCGCCCAGAGGGGAGCTGGGCAAGAAGGATTCACTTTGCTCTGAGGGTCCTGGAGCTCCCACCCTCCTCAGCGATCTCCCCAGAGCCTGTGTGACAAGGACTCGGCCCACGTTGCTGTGGGATGAGAGGCAGAGTGTCGTGAGGGTTTAATGAGCGGCAGCAGTGGTGGGAGGAGGGAGCAGCAGCCAGCACTGCGGTGCCAGTTTCCAGATGCCAGATGACACCGCTGACCCTGTGGTTGGGAAGAGATGCACGGAGCTGGCCTTTGCAAGCCAGTGTGGCTGCCACAGCGCCTGCCGAGAAGCAGAAGGAAGGGTGGCCCCAGGAGGGCAGAGGATGCGGGCACATCTAGTGATGCGGGCCTGAGTTTTGGGAGCTTTTGCTCTGGCCAGTTTCCAGCTCAGGGACCCACCCACCTCATCGTCAAGACACTGCCCAAGAAATCATTTGCTTAACAAACACACTGGGCTCCCACTGGGCACCTGTGCCACCCTAGATGCTGGGAACCGAGCCATGATACAGGCACCTGCCCCCGGCTGCTGACCACTGAGGCTGGCTAGCAGCTCCACGGGGCCAGTGCGGGGTTCCCGAGCCTCTTACCAGGGAGCCAGCCCCAAGCCCTCGAGAGGGAAGGGTGCCCGTGGCCCTGGCAGGAAGGTTAGGCTGGACGCTCCCGCGAGACGTAGCAGATGGAGGTTCTAAATAATGTAGCGACTTCTTCGCCTTGAAACCGCTCTAGAGTCAGCCATGACGCACTGGGACTGCAGTAGCTGCCAGGCATCCGGGACGGCACACCGCGAGGCGCTGCTGTGCTTAGGTTAGAAGTGGTTTTGGTCTGTTTTCTTCTCGCCCTCTCTAATCAGAGTCGGTGATTCATGCCCCTTTCCACCACCTTAGAGAAGGTGCAGGCGCTGCCTGTGCTCCTCCAGGCTGCAGCATCTCAGGTCGGCAGAACTCAGCTGTGGAATCTCCTGGGGTTGGTGCCGTTCATCAGCAGCGTGTCCTTAACAACCTTCTGATTTCTTCCTTAGTTGCTGGTTCATTAAGGAGGAAAAAAATGGTGATGTTAGCCATCGCTGAAATATTTGATAAGATCCAGCAAAGCAGCGGGTTAACACTGAAAACCAAAACCGAGAGCCACGCAGGTGTGCCTGCTTTTCGCCTGTAGTATTTCATGTTGTTTTCACGTTTTTAGCTGATGCATTAAGATACGTAAACAAAAGAAGCAGGATGAGAGATGAAGAAAGTAGAGGTACCTTTGTTTTCAGATCTCATTTTTGTATACCCAGAAAGCCAAATGTACAAAAGACTGGGAGCTCTTTAAACCAGCTGAAACTTGTTGAAAATGACAATGAAGAAATGTCCCATTGAGAGTTGGAGTGAATTTAACCCAGAAGGAACAGGAGCCATACTGAAGAGAACTATGCAGTCTTATTGAGCTGGAGAAACTTAGCACACTCCCGAAAGCTCCAAAGTCAATGTCATCATTGTATGACTGTCATTCCAACCGTACTCTCAATAATGCCGCTTTTTGGTTTTGAAGTGGACACGATGATGTTTACATTCATATGAAGAAAGAACAGGGCCAAAAGTCCAGGGCCAGTCAGCGTGAGAAGACCGCTCGGCCTCCCTCGGAGTCGCGGAGTTGGAACCGCAGACTGAGATCATGTGGCTGCTGGAGGCCAGGACGAACGTCGGGAAATGGAGACTCCTGCGATGCTGGTGGGACGTGGTGTAGCCACTTCCAGGGACAATTTGTGTCCCCACCTAAAGCTGGAGGAACACATTTCCTCCCCTGGGCAGTGCCACTCCTAGACAGGTCACCTGGCAGCAGCTGTCCTCAAACTGAGGACCCCTCAACACTCTTCAAAATCATTAAAAGTGGGCCAGGCACGGTAGCTCACACCTGTAATCCCAGCACTTTGGGAGGCCGAGACAGGTGGATCACGAGGTCAGGAGATGGGGACCATGCTGGCTAACATGGTGAAACCCCGTCTCTACTAAAAATACAAAACTTAGCCGGGTACGGTGGCGGGCGCCTGTAGTCCCAGCTGCTTGGGAGGCTGAGGCAGGAGAATGGTGTGAACCCTGGAGGCGGAGCTTGCAGTGAGCCGAGATTGCACCACTGCACTCCAGCCTGGGCAACAGAGCGAGACTCCATCTCAAAAAAAAAAAAAAAAAATTATTAAAAGTACCAAAGAACTTTTGCTTATGTGAGTTCTAATGACCAATATTAATACACATTAGAATACCTTATTAGAAATTAAACCTGAGACCTTTGGAAAACATGTATTCATTTCAAAATAGCAATAAACCCACAACATATTAACATAAATAACAACTGTATGAAAAACGTATTTTCCAAAACAAAAAGTTTTTGGGAGAAGTGTGGCATAGTTTACACTGTTGTAAATCTCTGGCTTAAGAGAAGCCCACTGGCCTCTCATCAGGCTCCAGTCTGTCCACTGTGGTGGTGTTTTGGTTGTGAAGTATAGGGGTGAATGAAGAATCTAGGCCCTACCCAGATGTGTATTTGAAAAGAAAAGGAACATTTTAATAACCTTTGCAAATAATTGGGATATTCTTCCTTGATCCTCTTCCAACACTGGACAGGTGGTGTGTTTTTTTTTGTTTTTTTTTGAGACAGAGTCTTGCTCTGTGGTCCAGGCTGGAATGCAGTGGCGTGATCTCGGCTCACTGCAAGCTCCGCCTCCCGGGTTCACGCCATTCTCCCTCCTCAGCCTCCCGAGTAACTGGGACTACAGGCGTCCACCACCACGCCTGATTTTTTTGCATTTTAATTACAGACGGGATTTCACCAGTTAGCCAGGATGGTCCCTCGATCCTCCTGACCTTGTTGATCCACCTGCCCTTGGCCTCCCAAGTGCTGGGATTACAGGCGTGAGCCCCACCGCAGCCTGGTTCCCCCAGGTGGGGTTTTTACTGGCTCGGTTGTGTGTTGTGAAAATTCAGGAGAACTCTGTTGGTCTGTCTTGTGCTTCGTGGACTCGTCCATCAGGGCCTTTGGTTCACTAAGTTATGCGGAGATTCCAAATGCTGACACAGTTCCTCAATCAGTATTTTAAAATCACTTTTGGTGATATCACCAATCTTAGAAAAGTCTTTAGGCTGGAAAGGTGATGAGCTCATGGTGGTGGATACAGAATTTCAGAATTCTGATTTTTGCATGAAAGCTTGAATTTTATCATTGGTGACAAATGCTGTCAGCTATTTTCTTTGAATCAGACAGGCTCACAGGCTCACTTTGTTCATTTTCAAAAAAAAAAAAAAAGGTCTGTCAGGACACCCAAGGCCGAACAACCAGAGTTTTTGCATATCCTTTTCTCGAGTAAAAAGTGTGCTCCATACGTGTGTTCCAGATGGCAGCGCAGCTGCATTTCCCCAGCGTGGGCGTGGGGCAGGTGTGCCTTCTGATTGCTCAGGCAGAACGTTGAAAAGACGTGGACTCCGGGGTCAAGACCTCACACACACGACCATTTTCACTCCATCAAGGACATTTGGAAGTGACCGGCGTTTTGCACTGCAGCTGTGCGGTGGGGAAACCCCTCAGGGCTGCACCAGGGCTGGGGCCTGCCTGCGTTCCTGCTCGGGTCTCGCCACATCAGTGCACACATCGGCTCGATGAAGACCCCGTGAAGACCCCGTGATCATCAGACTATGATGAAAGCAGCTGCAGCCTCAGGGACCCTTGGAGACCCACAGGCCGAGACCTGAGAGCCACTGCCTGAGTGCTGGAGCGTGCACACAGGTGACCCGAGCGAGCCTCGTCTGTCCTTGCCTGGTACCCAGAGCTGGCTCCCTGGCGATCGGTGGACACACGGGCTCCATCACACAGAGGGACTCTCCATGCCACTGGGTGGTGTCATCATAGCACGTGGGAACCGTGCCCCCAAGAGGACCCGGAGGGACCCCCTGCTGCCTTGTAGGCACTGGGGATAGTCAGATGGAAAGCAGACACAAATCTGTGTCTTTACAGGGTTTCGAGTTGAGGGTGGGGCTAGATCAACAATAAACACATGAGTAT